TATATATATATATATATATATATATATATATATATATATATATATATATATATATGGTAAAATACATATAAACGAAACATTTTTTTAATTCCTTGGGTGATTCATCAACCAAAACTAAAAAAAATGTTTTTGATGTTTGCTTACTAAGTATAAATATGTATTTATTTCATATTTATATGTATACGATGGTTTTTATACAAAATAAATACATATTTATATCTATTAAATACAAATAAATATATCTATTAAATACAAATAAAAACGTATTTATACATTTAAAAACATATTTATCCATTAAAAAACATATTTATACATTTAAAAATATTTTTATTTGTATTTAGTAGATATAAATATGTATTTATTTTTTATAAAAACTATCGTATGCATATAAATATGAAATAAATACATATTTATACTTAGTAATATGTACAAATTCATATAATTATATCTTTTATACAATATAAACCTTATAAATATGTATTCTTATATTTATATGTATACAATATATTTTTAGATGAAATAAATATATATTTATACCTACTAAATACAAATAAATACATTTTTAGGCTTTCAAATGTATATACATACTAAATACAAGTATATATATATGTTTTTAAAAATATTTTTATATTAATAAAAAATATTAACCATTTAAAAATATATGTATAAAATATTTTTATACATTTCAAATTGTAATAATAATAATAATAATAATAATAATAATAATAATAATAATAAAATAATAATAATAATAATAATAATAATAATAATAATAATAATAATAATCAAAATAATCAAAATAACAATGAAAGTAACGGTAAATGCGAACATTTTTGAAAAACTTAAAGGTAAATCTGAACATTTTTGTGAAAAATTAAGGGTTTTATGTCATTTGCCTTTCTAATATGGCTCAAGTTAAAAATTGCAAAAATATGGTGGATAGATTTGATAAGCAGTTTTCTAAATGGAAAGTTAACTTTCTTTCCATATGAGGTAGATCAATTTTGCTTTCTTCGGTTCTTTTGTTCGTTAGGTATTGTTTATATGTCTCTTTTCTTGATGGCTGTTCAAGCTAAGAAACATTTGAAGTCATTTCGAGCGAAGTTTTTTTT